CAGACTACTCTGACCTTATCAGTCCGTTTGTATCCTATTATTTGATTCGCTCTTGTCGCTAATGACAGAACAGCTAACCAATCACGATGATCTTGTCTTCGAAATAGATTCTTTTATTCGCTTACGTCAGAAACAGCGAATCTCTTTAAAAACTGGCTGTTGTTCTCACTACATTGCATTGTTATATTTCGTAAAAGTTTTACCCACCAACTGGCGACTGCAACTGTTACACATACTCGCCAACGCTGATTTTTCCTCGCATTTGGCGCTTGGCAAGTGTTAATTATAGGCCCTGTATGGGCTCGAACGGCATCCAAAAGCATGGTCGCGATGTAACATTTTTCAGCTAACCAATTATTCCTCTAATAAACAAAGCTTTTATACCACACTTGTCATAATCAGAGCTTATAATTTGTAAATAAATAATTGCTGGATTAAAAACAGCAATTAAAAGGCGCTGTGACCGACACTGACTATACGTTTTCCCGGAGCATTCAATTATGTCACTAAACGGTGATGCCACAACTGAGCATCGTTCACTAGTTTCTGCATGGACCTAACTAGCCTAGGGCACAGGTTTTCAAGCCCTGGGACAAAATGGGATGCTTTAAGGAAAATGATGATCGTTTCCGTCTATATGCGAATGCGTGTAAAGTACAAGCCTAGTTTACATTATAAATAATAGTTTAACATTCAAATACATTACGAATATGGAAACATTTGGATTTGTGCCGAATGAGATGTGAGTAATAACCTCCAAACATCTAGCCAAAAATGCCATAATGTCAGTTGAAAACATTGCAATTGTGTTTTAAAATACAAAATACAACAACGAGCACCACGAAGCCATTTAAAGAGGCGCGTTCAGCGGTCTCCGGCTGCATAGACGCATTTTGCAGCATTAAGGTTAACGATTAATCGATTAATTGATCGTTAATTTAAAAGACGATCGATCATGGAAATGATCAAAAATTGACATCCCTATTACTAGGTAATGTCTGGTTCCCTAATAAAGATTCACCCAGAATTAATTATTTTTTTATTTATGACCCCGGGTTTGCTGAAAAACAGTAGATAATTATTTCAAGAACTTGTTTTAGAAATCCCAAACTGGTTTAATTTGAATGGTTTAAATTAACAAATTTACCCAACTTTCATAGAGAAAACTGTTTAAATTGAACTTTTGAGTTTATTTTGATTGACAACGAAAATACTGTGGGTCAGCCCTATGTGTCTCTAAGTCAGTGGTTCTCAACCCGCTGCCCGCGGGTCGCATGCGGCCCGTCACGAATTCAAATGCGGCCCACCGTGCTGAACACAATTAAAAAAAAATTTCAGTTTTACAATTCATTTTAGTTTTTACATTAATTTAAAAATGAGACAGTGAGCATATGTTTGATCAATTTAGCCTTCTCAAATCATCACGACTTGACTAAAATAAAATCTTTAGATATAAAACAGTTCAAGCACATAACAATGTTTAAACGTTAAACCTAGATAAATGTGCGCTATATCCAATAGTTTGTGCGAAGAGTGCAAGCTGAAGGGCGCTTTGCAGGACACGGAGGCACCAGCGCGATCACTTGCATTTTTATTCAGTGGATACACCATCATTTTTGCTCATAAAGGTAAGAGTAATACATCATTCGTAACTGTAAAGGGTCTACTTTTATT